GTAACTTAGACCAACGACATTCAACTCAAAGTGCAGAGAAACAATTGTTGGAAATTAAAGGAGAGCTGACAGGGCATCCTGAGGGATGCATGAAGGAGTAAGAAAGAGAGGGATGAAGGTGGCTTCAGAAAAGCATGAGATGTGGCAGGGCGAATGAAGTTCGATTTGGATACAGCTCCTTGACATCAAAGTAACACACGATGGCATCAAAGTAATATGTGATGACTGGGTATGATGGCACAGGCCTGTAATCTCAGCACTTGGGACAGTAAGGCAGGAGGATAGCTATGAGTTCAAGGCAAGTCTAGGCTACATAGTGAGTTCAAGTCCAGTCTGAACTACATAGCAAGACCCTGTCTCAAACTTCTGTCCCCGAACATACACCAAAAGAAAGATGTGATCATGTGGAAAAGACAGAAGAGTGAGGCTCAGGCCGGGCGTGGTGATGCACGCCTGTAATCCCAGCACTCGGGAGGCTGAGGCAGGAGGATCACTGTGAGTTCGAGACCGGCCTGGGCTACATAGTGAGTTCCAGGTCAGTCTCAACTACATAGTGAGACCCCGTCTCAAAAAAACCAAAAAACAAACAAACAAAAAAAGAGTGAGGCTCAGAAGAGAGGTCTAGAACTGCAGATGAAGATGGTGATTGAAAAAGATCAAGAAAAGTTGGCATTAAAGCCAATAGGCTGTAATGAAATCACATGGGAGGGGTGCTATGACAAAGAGAATATGCCAAAATTGGGCAAACCCATGGAAATCACTTTCCCACCTCAAGGTTACAGTAAGACTTATAAAACCACTTTTGAGAAATCCTCTGAACTGTGCCTGGCCATGCAGAGCTATTGCTACTTCCACTGATTGACTACACAGATATAACTTTGCCTTGCCAACTGGACTATGAGCCAACGACACACCCACAGCAGGCTCCCTGGGCTTCAGCACAGGAAAACCCAATCCAACACACCCCTTGATTGGAGTCCTCCTGCTGGGCAGGAATCAAGCACTGACTGTGGTGTCCGGCACTGTGGCTGCAGCTTTCCCCGCTCCACCCAGCAGCAGTATGATCTCATCCGTTCCTTCTGTGGCCCTCTGAAGGGCTTCACATCCTGCACTCACAGGTGGCGCTCACTCTGTACCCCTGGCTGGTCATTCATTCCCTTTGATGGCTTGCAGTGGGGGTTTGAGGCACTCCTACAATGGGAGTCCAGTCTGTGACCAGCAAACAGAGTGCCCTTGCCAAATGATTGCCTCCAACAGTCGACAGCCCAGGTGGGACTACTGTGCATCAGATAACAAGGTACATGCAAGCATGCAAAGGCAAATCAAACTCCTACCATGAGCAACCCAAGTCCATCGGATGATACTTGACAGGTATCGCTGTCAACAGGTTGCCACCTTTCACTTATTTCTACCACGTTTATTGTTACAGTAAAACCACATCCTGATTATCTCAGTGACACTCAACCCGCGAGTATTTGGAGATTTAAGCTATTTCTTAGATTTCCCAAACTATGTTAAAGCAAACAGGATCCTGGCCGAGCACTGCTCCATCGACGCCTTTCCCGCCCGAAGGCGATGCTACAGCTTCGGACCACCGGGCGAGTGGCCTCCTTACCCAGGCAGGAGGATATCACAAGCACTGGCGAAACCTGGACCTGCGGCCCGCCCCCCAGCTCCAGCCCCGTCCCAGGCCCCGGCCCCTGCCCTATGTTCTTCGCCTCCTCTGCTGCCCGCCGCCCGCGGCCACGTTGCCTCACAAAGGCCAGGACACCG